CCAAAATAGCACACATTATTTGCCTCAAATTTTGTGTTCTAGCATGTCCTATATTATTTTTTTTCTCTTCACCTAAGGATATGTTTTGATTGGTTTTTTAGAGAGAGAGGAAGGAAGGGGGGGAGAGAGAGAGAGAGAGAGAGAGAGACCGACCTTGATGTGATAGAGAAACATCAGTTGGTTACCTCACGTACACCCCCCGACCAGGAATTGAATCAGCAACCTAGGTATGTGCCCTGACTGGGAATTGAACCCACAACTGGTTGGTGTATTGGACAATGCTCCAACCAACTGAGCTGCCCAACAAGGGCAATGCCCACTCTTATATTTGCTAAACCTGCTAACCCTACCAGGGTGAAAGACCATAAGATCTAAGATATTGAGCAGGAGGCCTCGGCACCTTAGTTCTGACGTCCCTGCCCTGGCTATATTATGCTTCCTGTCCATGAATAGCTGTCAGACTGCCTGCTTTATTAGAACAATCCAAAGTTTGATTTGACCTATTCTGAGTGGACGTGGAAACTTTTAGTAATCTCTCTGGGGTGGGGGTAGGGGGAGGAATTACTTTTAGGGATAAAAGAAAGAAGGAGCTGAATAAATTCTTTGCCTGTCTTTGCTGAAGGAAGATGTCTATCCCTAGTTCCAAATTACCTTTGATACAAAAGTGGTGATGTGTTTAGAGGAGTTTACTAGATTTATTTTACAAGATGAAACCACAGCTGGTTTCATAGGAAATGGGTATTCTATAGGATTCCCATCCAAAGGAGACCCTGAGAACCCCAGAGGACATATGATATGGTTAAAAGTAATGCAAAGTTCAGGTGAAGAGCCTGGGACTACTGAGGTAAAATTGGAAAAAGTCATGCTTAAATATGATAAGTTTTGTAAAATAGTAAATTCAATAATTTAATAAACATTTATGAGGCACCGAGCATATGTACCAGCACTGGAATATGTCCTGAATTGACTTGAAATATGTCTAGAGCAGCAGTTCTCAACCTGTGGGTCGCGACCCCTTTGGGGGTCGAACGACCCTTTCACAGGGGTCGCCTAAGATGATCGGAAAACACATATATAATTACATATTGTTTTTGTGATTAATCACTATGCTTTAATTATGTTCAATTTGTAACAATGAAATTGGAGGTCACCACAACATGAGGAACTGTATTAAAGAGTCGCGGCATTAGGAAGGTTGAGAACCATTGGTCTAGAACAAGAACTTAGAGAACGCAACGGGACTTAAGGTCCATTATAAGAGACAGAACGTAAGTGGATAATCAGGGCATCACAATAAATTGGGGTTTTAGTGGCCCAAAGGGACTCCATGGACCTAGTGTATAAGCAATACTTTATTGCATAAGAATAAGTTTAAAGAAAAAGAGAAAAACTAAAAACTACGGTGAGATAAACTGGCACTTTACCGAGAATGCCAGATTTGGAGGTGCCCAGAGAATGGCAACGGAAAGGTCCTTGTTGGGCATTTTATGCAGTTTGAGTGCGGGGCTGTTGAGAGACTCTCCAAGCCTGCAAATCATTGCATACTTTCCTTGACACTAAAACTCCCAGGATGATCGCTTAAGGCTGTGCAAATTATCAGGACGAGAGGATGGCGAAGAGTAAGGCGATGCCGCGCCGCGCTGGGGGACGCAGAGCGCACGGACGGCTTCCGAGGAGCCCTGGGGGGCTCGGGGCTGCCCCCACCCAACAAAGTACAACTGCGGGCCAAGGGTTTGGCCAGTCCCACCGTCTCAGGGTCCACCGCGTCCACAACTCAGGGAGGGAGGTCTGGGGCACCCTTACCGTACAGGTAATCATACGTTCGGCTGCTGGAGACGTGGCCCTTGGCCCCCGAATTCACCTCGCACCGGGTTTGAGACCCCTGCTGCTTGGCCTGGGGCTCCACGACGGTCACGGTTTGGCTCATGGTGCCTCCTCTCCCCTCCGGCCAGCAGGGGTCCAAATAGGTACGCCGAGCGGCTGTGTGCACGGTAGCTATGGTAACCTCGGCTGGAACTGGAGGGTGAGGGGCGGGGCGAGGAGCAGAAGAGGCGGGGCTAGAATAAGGGCGAGGCTCAGGAGGGACC